CCCACAGGACCGATCACCGATGGCCAATCGTTCCTTCCTACAAGTACTTTGCCAAAGGTGGCTCAAAAATGTCTTCCCTAGTCTGTCTATCCTAACGATATCCTTTCCCGCCTTTTCAAACCACTTCCTACTCCCCAGTACAGCTACCGTCCTCTCCTCTCTATTCCATGCCTCAAACATCTCCCTGTACGTCCTCATTTGAACCTTGGAGGTGTAGTAGACATGTGCCCGTTGACTACGGCGTCGAAAACAAACACTCCTTAAAAAATTGCGTGCTCTTTTGTCTATTTGCTTTTCGGTACAGACAGACAAACAAAGCACACACACCCAATCCTATCCTGGTTCTATTGGGGCTACGATATCACCGCCTGCAAAGGTTTCGTATCGGAGAGTTCACCTCCGGGGCCATGTACTCCGGTGTGCCGCACACAGACTGCGCCCCGAACGTCGAGTCCGATACGTTGTCCTTCGCCAGGCCGAAGTCTCCAAGCTGCGCGATACACAGCCGGGTTGTTGCAGCGGGGGGTGACGGGTCGAGAGTGTGGAAGGAGTGTGGGAGGAGAAGCCAGGGGTTGGGGAGAACAAGGGCGTTCACCTACTTCATCGGCTTACACCACTTTCGTGCGCGTGTGCGTGCGTGGAAAAAAATTTCCTTCGGCCATGGAACAAGAGTGCCTTGCTTTGGCTGACGGCAGCAGCAACAACAACACCACCACCACCACCACCAACAACAACAACAACAACGCCCAAAGTCATCACGTAAGACAGGGGCTCCTCCCGCCCTAAAGTGCACCTTTCATGACAACCGTCACAGCCCGGTCGTCTTCCCCCTACAGCAGTGTGGGATAAGACCATGGCATCACGCTCTCCCCAATCCTGATTCGAAGGCGTCTTATCCCATGCTACATGGTACGGACAGAAGAAGGTACTGGGCAGAGAGAACGGAACGGTGTCTAATGTGAAGACAACAACAACAACAACAACAACAACATGCATCCACTTCTGTTCTAGCTTGTCCTAAACTGAAGGCCTGTTCCCGAACGACCGGTTCAGTGTCAGACCAACAACCCAGAGCAGCCACGCCGTGCCCACCTTGATGTGTCCGTCTGCGTCCAGGAGTATGTTCTCGGGCTTGATGTCCCGGTAAATGATGTTGTTGTCGTGGAGGTGCTGGACGAGAGAGAGAGAGAGAGAGAGAGAGAGAGAGAGAGCGACAGGAAAAAAACGAAGGCGTGGTTGTGGATCAAAGGCGGCGCGTAGTGAGAGAGTGAACGCAAAAAGAGCTCTTTGCGTCCTTTGTCTGCGACTGTGATGTATGTTTTCTTGCTTAGAAAACGCAAACAAAGCAAACGTTACAACTATGAAATGAACATAGATAGACGCAGCAGCAGAGGTAGAAAACGTACGTACAAAACGCTTCTTGTCTCCCTGGATAGCAACAACATCTTGCAACAAACAGCTATTTTACGCCAATGATGACAACAACCACGACAACAACGACTGCTGTACAGGTTCAAAATCAACAAAAAAAAGGGACAGCAGTACGCAGTCGTTTCCCCCCCCCCCCTTCACTGAAAAGACTTCAACCCACTCCCTTCGACTGTGGTATTATCTCGAACGGGTACTCTTTCGTGTACCGTGGGGGGCCCTCAATAGTGCGGGTGCCCGCCATAGTGCGGGTGAAATCGCTTGGCACATACCCGCACTATAGAGGCCCTCCCACTATACTTCCATGTGTAATTCCTAACAACGACGACGTTACACACCTTCAACGCCAGGACCAATTCCGCCGCATAAAACCGCACCACTCCCTCCGGGAACCGCTTGTACCGGCTCAGGTGGAAGAACAGCTCGCCCCCGGGGCAGTAGTCGAGCACGAGGTACAGCTTGTTGTCCGTCTGTTCGTTAGGCGAAAAGGGCGGCACGCGTTGATAAAAATATATATATATATCTTTGAGGAGGCATGTCCGTCGGAGTAGTGTTGGTTGGTCGCGCGTGCTCACTATCGACAACGACAGCATCTCGTCACCAGCAGAAGGGGTAGCACGTCAGCCTTATCACGGGAACTTCGCACTTATCAAGCTCGCGGCTACAACTACAATCAATGCTTGTCGTTTTCGGCAAAACAAATATACATGAATATGCCATTTTGTGTATTTTAACTGTGTTCTTGAAAGACGTACGAACATGTAGCCCGAAGCACACAGCATGCGCTACCACACAAGAACCTGGGAGATAGTACGATATTCATCCCCCCCCAAAAAAATAAAGACTTGAAGAGCAAGGCGCTCAGGCCAAAAGCCTACCCTAGTCGATTTTTTGGGATACCCCCCACAGAAGGCAAAAATGAGCCTCGGGACCAAAACAAGAGCTTCCGCTGGCGCGCTGCTGAATCTACGTGCGACAAACAAACCGCTGCTGCATCTACGCGCGGCCGCACACCGCTGCTGAATCTACAGGTTTTGCAGGGCCGTGATTGAAATACCGGGGACGAAATCGGCGGAGAGGCGTTCTGCCCTCTGGCTAGGCTACACAAGGGATCACGGCGACTGTGCCGTTAACCGCTGCTGCATCTACGGTGCTGCATCTACGGTGCTGCATCTACGCTCTTGTTCGACGCCGCTGCATCTACGGTGCGGTATCTACTCCGCCGTGCTACGCCGCTGTATCTACGCGGGGCGGCGCCACACACCTGGAAGGCGTAGTGCAGGCGCATGAGGAAGGGGTGCTCGACGTTACCGAGGACCCTCCTCTCGATCTTCGTCCTCTCCACCTGCCTCTTCCGAACCACGTCGCCCTTCTTGAGGATCTTCATCGCGTACAGCACGCCGGTGTTCTTGCGTCTAACCAAAACCACCTATAATAATATATTAACAGGGGGGGGCGCAAGGGAGGGGAGGGCCGGGGGATTAAATATCCGCGTGCACCATTCAATAGGTTTTGTTCTTTCAAAGGGGGGGGGGGGGGGGGACCCCAAAACCGGGCTGGCCGAAAAAATCCTTTTTTTTCGGGGGGGGGGGGGGGGGGGGGGGGGAAAAATTGGCCTTTAAAAAAAAGGCAAAAAAATTTTTTTTTTTTTTTTTTTCGGAAATTTTAAATTTTTTTTTTAAATTTTTGGAAAAAAATTTTTTGTTTTAAAAAGCCCCCCGAAAACCCAAAAAAAAAGGAACCACAAAAACCGGGGAGAAAAAACCGGGGAAACCCCAAAAAAAAAAAGGGGGTTTTTCCCCCCGGGGGAACCGGGGGGGGTAAAAAACGT